CTTTGATATATTCCTGAGATGATAATTTGCGTCACTACATGTCTTTTTTATATGTTGTTCCATGCAAAAGCAATTGTCCATGATGACTCCTAGGTTATGTACAGACAACTAAGGGCAATGAACTCATCTCCAACCCGAACATATTCAAGATTTGGTCCATTTCGAAATTTGGAGCTAATGACGACAAGTTCAGTTTTGTCTTGATTAAGTTTCAATAGGTTTTTACACATCCAAAGGTCTATTTCTTCAATACAGCGCTCAACACGCAACTTTGCCTCATCAAGATCAGCACAACAATCATTATTGAAGGAAATATATAGTTGCGTGTCATCAGCGTACAGGTGGTAGTAGTCATGCTTCAGCAAAGATAAGCCATTTTGGACTTCCTTGACTTCCCGCATACTAATTAAGTGCCTTCCCTTTATTAATATGCATATGGGTAGAGTCCATGACGTCACCCATTGTTATAACCTATGGAAAAAATGCGTTCCTCAATACTAATGAGGGTATTCCTGCATACTAATTCGGTATGGGTTTACTAATGAGCGTCTCTCTACTTCAATAGAAACAATAGGTTTGCCTAGTCTTGCCTGGGTTCCTTTAACCCTGATTGGGTCATGTAGAATTTATTCTATCTTCCAAATTAAAGCGGCTAGATTTCGAAAGAGCTATCGTTCTTGCAATCGCTTTGCTAAGGAAACAATTTGTTCGAGTTCGCTTACCTGACTAAAAATTCGGTTATAAACAAAACTCAGACGCAAAATGGAGCTGAAACTCTTTACTTCAATCTATTGCAAACAGTGCTCTCTCTATGAAATTACTTTATCTTGATGTCTTGCTACACGCTCCGTTAACCAGTAGTAATTTGCTTCTGACTCATGCCTCTTTTGTGTTCTCGTAAATTAAACAATAATGCTTAAGTCCTCTTACAAAAAGATAAGGTACCGTTTCACACACAATTGTTAGGTCTATTGAAAAAGAAAATATTCCACTGCAAAGTGCATCGACAACCGTTTAATTAATTTGTCATTGATCTATCGAGCATTCGTTTGGTTCTTTTCTAAGAAAGATCTTACGTTAGAATCATCCTTGTGTAAATAAATCCATTTCGATTTTCCATTGCAATAGTGTTCTATTTTCACAGGCCAGAAATTTCCATACGAGTACGATGGAAGATACGGATCATAAAGATGTCTGGCAATGCGGTAAATTTCCGTGATCCCAAATACTTTTGGTAGGGTTTGGCATCGGGGCGCTCCTTGTATATAATTTTGTACAACGGGATAGGCTGCTTCAGACCAGACTGAATCAAAAGGAAATGGCCGTGAGTTTTTTACAATTGGCGGGGAAGATTTGACTATAGGAGGTGATTTGACTGCTGATCTAGCTTCGCAGGCAATGTTTTCCTTGTAACTGTTCGTTTTGTCCGTTTCGACCGATTTTGCGGAGCTGTTAATAGTCGGATATCGACGACAAGAGCCGAAAATGTCACTCAATACTTGCTTATCACTCTGCGTGTCTGGGCGATTGTCAACAAAGATATAACCAAACGCTCTTCCCGTTTCTTGAAAATAAGCTGACATGAATCGCGGACGATTTTTGTCAAACATTCGTTCCGCAATGATACCGATTTGTTTTCCATCGCTAGGACTTCGGAAAAGAGCCATGTACTGAGCATTCCGGCTGATGTCCGTGTTAAATTTTCCCTTTGGAAACATATTTTGAAGCAGTAGTATCACACTAGCATTTCTATGCCGGCCTTGGGTAAACAGAAGGGAAACGAGAGGACTATCTGTTGCTTGGGCCATAAGATCGTCAAACACCAGCAAATTGTTAAACTTTGGGTCAATTTCCCTTAGATCTTCTCTAATCTCTGGAAGGCCACGAAAAGGCTGAATTTCCTTTCCGATAGATGACTGCATCTCTTTGTAGGTATCCTGCCACTGACTGTAGTACCACCATATTCGCCTCGGTTTCTTGCTCTCGTAAAGAATACGATCCGTTGTGAGAATTTTTTTCAACGAAAAATGTTTTACCACACTGAGTGGGGCCCACCACGAGAAGTGAAAATTAATGTCGAAACATAAATTCTGGATATGCCTTGGTTTCCAGGGAAACATCGTGAGTTAATTTGGGCCTCTTGACTATACAATGCTGAGGTTTTTCCGTTTCTTTGACAGCTGCAATAGTTCGTTTTCGTTCTCTATTTCTTTCCTTTTCCGTGTGCAATAATTGTGTAAAACGTCGGGACACTCCTTGTATTATACCCAGACTTTTCTTAGACCCCGAAAATACATGCTACTTTTAGCCATTGCTTTCATTCGTGGCTCTTTAATCGACGCACTTGACGTCGGTGATCACTCAAGGAGAGTAACTCTGGCTTGCCACATACCGGGCAATCTCTCTTGAATTTATACGGCATCTCTACCACTCGAGAACCTCCAACATACTGAAGGAAATAAGTTATTTTCCTGTTTATATAGCTTCGCTAATCAAATGTGATGTCATAATTAGTTCTAATCCAATTCTTGTCAATCGTGGTGTAATACTAGGTTGATGTGGGGTCGATGTGGGGTCGATGTAGGGTCGATCTGGGATCGATGTGGGGTCGATGCAGGGTCGATGTGGGTTCGATGTGGGGTCGATGTGGGGTCGATGTGGGGTCTATGAGGGGTCGATGTAAGATCGATTATTATTTACGAAGGAGAACGCTTACTAACCCCGCCTTCACCAATTTTCTATAAAAGAGGCGCGCTGCTCTCTGAAGTTTGGTTTCCAATCACAACGCGTGCGGTTCAAACCAAAGATGACGAGCACAGTTTACACCTTATACCTTCAACAAGGTACTGGAAAATATGAAGGCAGCGAAGAAGGCGATTTCTCCCAAGAAAGCAAAGTCTCTAGCCAAGGAACGGAAGTCTTCCCAAGAAGAAGAAACAGAAAACTTAGAGCCTTGGTCACGCATTCTTGGTGAAGCCGAGAAACGCCATGAGACCCAGCTCAACGCATTGATCAATGAGTACGAAGGGGACGGAGATTCAGAAAATGTGGCCCGCGTGAAAGCCGAGAACGCTCTTCTTCCTGTTTACAGAAAAGAGCTAAGAAAAGTACTCTTAGAGAATCTACAGTGGATTCTTGGAATGAAAAAAGACCCCACCTTCAAAAAAGTGATGGAAACTTAAAAAGAGCTTAAAGACACAGAAGGTTTTGATTGGTTGGAATCGACAGACCTAGCGATCGATAAGCGAAAATTCTTACTAAATCGATTGTATGAAAAGCAGCCCATTCCACAAGATGAAGACTAGACCTACTATGGATGTTACAGAATTTTTTATTTCCTGGATCTTTGTATTGTTGCATTTCAATAAAAACTGTAAACAACCAAACTTTAAGTGTGTTTTATTGATGACTTGATCCTAGAAAAGAACCAAACGAATGCTCGATAGATCAATAACAAATTAATTAAACGGTTGTCGATGCACTTTGCAGTGGAATATTTTCTTTTTCAATAGACCTAACAATTGTGTGTGAAACGGTACCTTATCTTTTTGTAAGAGGACTTAAGCATTACTGTTTGATTTACGAGAACACAAAAGAGGCATGAGTCAGATGCAAATTACTGCTGGTTAATGGAGCGTGTAACAAGACATCAAGATAAAGTAATTTCATAGAGACAGCACTGTTTGCAATAGATTGAAATAAAGAGTTTGAGCTCCATTTTGCGTCTGAGTTTTGTTTATAACCCGAATTTTTAGTTAGGTAAGCGAACTCGAACAAATTGTTTCCTTAGCAAAGCGATTGCAAGAACGATAGCTCTTTCGAAATCTAGCCGCTTTTATTTGAAAGATAGAATACATTCTATATGACCCAATAAGGGTTAAAGGAGCCCGGGCAAGTCTAGGCAAACCTATTGTTTCTATTGAAGTAGAGAGACGCTCATTAGTAAACCTATGCCAAATTAGTATGCAGGAATACCCTCATTAGTATGGAGGAAGGCACTTTTCCATAGGTTATAACAATGGGTGACGTCAAGGACTCGACCGTTATACATATTAATTAAAGGAAGGCATACGAAAGGCAAGGGAAGGCAAGAATCCGGTTAAGTGTTAACATAGTAGACTACTGATGGTATAGTAAGTTATGCTTTTTGATGATTTCAGCAATCGGCGCAGTATAGACAAGGTACAGCAGTAGGCCCAGTACACACCCCTGAGGCACCCAACGCAACAACGGTCCCTTTGATGACATGCCCTCTTCTACCTTAACAAACTGTTGGCGGGAGGTTAAGTAGGACTTAAACCAGGCCAATGCAGTTCCCTTCACCCCAAATCCGTTCGAGAGTCGAGATATTAGTATTGCGTGATCCACCGTGTCAAAATGCTGCAGCAAGATCTAATAAAAGTAATATGACCGACTTGTTTTGATCCGAAGAGCACAAGATGTGATTTTGCACTCTAAGTAGTGCTGTTTCAGTTGAGTGAAATTCTTTGTATGCTGACTGAAACGTCTCGTCAAGATGGTTGGTCATAACATGTTTTTTCCGTTGAACTGCAGCAGACTTTTCAACAAGCTTAGAAATTAACTTTAAATTTGAGATTGGCCAAAAGTTTGTGAACTGCTTGAAGTCAGCAGTTGGTTTCTTTAATGTAGGTGAAAGCGAAGCAATCTTCAGGGCATTAGGCATAAAACCAGTTGTCAATGACAAATTAGCCATCCTGGTAATAATAGGTAGGAGTACAGGGAAGCAATCCTTAAGTACTGATGCCGGCAGAGGGTCAAGACAGCAGGACTTGCTTAAAGGCTTATAAGCAAATTCCTTGACGTCTTCTTGACTGACCTCGTGAAAGTTATTTAATTCAGCAGTGTTCGTAGGCAATTCATTGTCATCCACTAGCGATAGATCTCTTTTCCTTGCCACAAGGGCAGTGTGAATCTTTTCCACTTTGGCAGTGAAAAAGTCAGCAAATGAGGTCAGCAAGTAAAGCATTGCTAAGAGAAGGTGGATATCGCGTCTCATAAGATTTCTGCATAAGCTTGTTTACAGTTCTAAACAGCACCCTTTGATCTGAGGGATGCTCAGTAATTATTGATGTATAATAAGTAGATTTCAGTGAACTAATCAAATCGTTGACAACGCAACACTGATACTGGTGCGATTCCCGGTCACTCTGTAGGCGTGTCTTCCGCCATTTTCTCTGTAAGCGACATCTTTTCTGTTTTTCAGTAGCGACTATTAGCGAATGCCATGGTGCAACAAGTGTTATTGTCACCAAACGCTTTCTAGCGAGGGCGTATTGGTCCAAAAGCATTCGAAGACCATGATCATATTGATCAACTTCACTATCCAAGTCAGTGGGTTGTTCTTGAACCAAAGAAGAATTACGAACATCCTCGTAAAAGGAGTCAGTATCCAAGGAGCGCAGTTTTCGAGTGCTGATAACTTTCTTCCTGAACTGAGGTTTTTTGAGAGATAAATTACAAAATACTGCAAGGAGATCAGAGATCATTGGGTCATGGATCTTAACGTTCCTTACAATTTCCTCATTTAATCTTGTTATTAGCAGATCTAGGGTGTGGCCACTTGCGTGAGTAGCCGAAGAGACATTCTGTTTGAGATCAAAGGTTTCAAGAATTTCAAAGAACTACCTAGTATGGGCGTTGTTAGAATTTTCCATATGAAAATTTAGATCCCCAGTAATCATTAGGCTAGCGGAGGTCTCAGATAAAACATTTTCTGGCAGTCTAGAAAATTCCTCAAAAAACAGGGCACACGACGTGTTGTTAGGCGGTCGATAAACGATTAAAGTTCTAACGCTCTGACAATTTCGGAGATCCATGAATTCAAACGTTTCAAAGGAATTTGTGACTGAGGTGTTAACATCAAGATTGTATTTGAATAAGACACCAACTCCTCCTCCTCTGCCGTGTTATCTGGGGACATGTAAGAATTTGTATCCAGTAGGACACCGAGTTTCCACATCAATGTCATCAATGTTTCAAGGTCTTAGCCAAGTCTCAGTCAAAGCCAGAATATCTACATCATTGTCTACAACAAAGTCTTTAACTACAATTGTCTTGTTCCTAACAGATCTGGTGTTTATAAGGCAGAATTTTAAACAACATTTGCTGACTTTAGGTAAACAATGAGCTTTTCTCTGAATCTTAGTCATGTTCGTCATGTTACGATTGCATAAAGATGTTCCATTGAGCCATAAATTGCCATTGTTGTAACCTCTACTTGAAATCCTAACTGTGATTTCTGAAGTGCAGTTATCACTCGGGCCAGGCTTTGGATGCACATCACCACTGCGTTCATTGCCTAATTTCATAACATTAAAGGTAGCATCGGAGTTAGAATAGGAATTTACACGGCATTTGAACCATTTCCTCTTTCTTACTTTCAACAACACTTGCTTCCACTGTATAGCAACTACGCAGGGCTCATTAGCAATGTTTAGCCCCCTCAAAGTCGATAAGCCATAATTATCAACAGCTGTATCAAGTTCGAAATTATTCATGGCAAGCACAACCGGGTGTAATTTCCACAGAAACAAGGGTTTTCCATGCATCGATGACTGCACGCATAACAATGGTACACTGGTACAATTGTGACCGCGCATAACAGGACTGATTTTCCTGTGTCGAGTTCCGACGCAAACAAAGATAGTTTTCCTTGTTTCATTATCTTGAACGGGTAACGGATGAATATCTCCGCTCAATATGATACACAGTTCCACGATATTAAATGAAGCATCGGAGTTTGGATAGTACAAAATGCAGCTATTAGACCATCTCTTTCGCTTTATAACACATAGGCACAAGCCTCTGGGAATAGTACTTTGATGGAAAACAATAGGGGAAATCGACCTGCTAAGCTCTCTATCAGTAGAAACAATACCACAGAGCAGGCTAATGAGGTCGTTTCCAGGGAGTTGATTGTTCTGGTCGTCGTTTGAAATTCTGAGGTCGCTACAAGATAAGTTTTGCCATGGCCTGCCATGGAAAAAAAATGGCCTTTTCCATAGTTGTAGGTAGCCAAATGACACTGAAAAAGGGATTTCCAGCATCCCGGTATGTTCCCACATTCTGCTGAGATATTTTTGTCGACAATGTAGTTTTGAAGATGAAAATAGAGGATTAATTCAAAGCTCCAAAACTTACGTGTTAGTGCCGTGAGCTCAACAATATTCTCAGCCGACATCGCTTACTTAAGGTACGGAAAAACGGCAACAAAAAACGTGCAACTTGTCACGTTGTTAACAGGTTTGAACGTGAGTGGTAAAATGCGGACATCGCTATTCAACTCGTTTTGCAACAATGTTGCAAAACAAGTTGCACGTTTTTGTTGCCCGTTTTTCCGTATCTTAAGTAAGCGATGTCGGTTGAGATTCAAAACAAATATCTTTTATACATTACCGTAAATTTTCTTTTTTTTTTAGAACTCGTTGGCAAGCTTGCGTAGTTTATTGTTATTCTTTCTTTTTCCAATCTGTAGATAACATTCAGTGTAGTCACAATTCATATAACGCCTTTTTAAGAATACATTTAAATGGTTGTTTGTTATTTGAGGATTTTACAAACTGAGAACGAATAGGGTATACAACTACAACGGTCTAAATTATGCCTTGCAAGCTTCATCCACCAAGGAGACCACTAATTACGCAAGATTATGTCGCCTTTTAGTAGATGGAGGCACCAAGGCCTTGAGATACACCTTTGACAAATTCCACTCCCCAGCAAACCTGTTTTACGTTTTGAAAGCTGGTTCTCCAGAACATTCAACTCTGCAGTCCCTTAAAAGGAAGAGAATCATCAATGCTACACAATGGGGTAAGCTGTATCCCTCTCATCCTTCATCCGTAACACCAGAAGACTTTGACATCACGCTGCTGATGGTGCTGCTGAGGAACATCTGTGGTCTGACTGCTCCCGGCACAGGCTGGGACAGTGTTCCATCTGCTTCAGACACGAGTATTGAGGCTAACATAGCCAGAGTGAAGTACTATAGGAACTCGGTCTATGGGCATGCCAGCCAGGAGTCTGTGGACGATCTAACATTTAATTCATTGTGGAGGGATATAAGTGCCGCACTGACTCCACTTGGTGTAGATGCAGCTGCTATCGCAAAACTAAAAACTGAGACTATGGATCCAGATACGGAGAAGCATTACCGAAAGTCGTTAAAGGAATGGAAGAAAGACGAAGACAACATCAAAGACCAACTTGATGAAATGGAAGGTATAGATGAATATCTTATTATTTTATTTTTATTATGGACCAACTTAATAGAATGGAAGGTATTAACTAATAAAAGTTTTGAAGTGTAGCACTAAATAGGTTTCTTCTTTCCGAACGTAAATTTACTACGCGATTAGAATAAGGTATGGGTAGGGCTGAAATGAAACCGTGGAATTAGACAAAATAAACTTTTTCCTTACAAAAACGCATTAATAACCATAAACCGACATATAAATATTAAACCTCAAACAGGTTTAATTTAAAGTCTATGACTGACTGAGTTGCAGTGATGTGAACTTTACACAAAAAAGGAAAAAATGTTGTTTATTCAAACAAAATTTGTTTGCAACAACAAAAGAGGGCACTAATAGCAGGCGAGTTAGTAATTTAGCATTTACTGGATCTTCTTTCGTATGATCTGAAGAATTAGGCAAATCCATGCGGATAATACCCTCAGAGATCTGTATAATTCTTCAGATCATTCTCAATCTCATCGAATAATTGCTAATTATCTCAGCTGACAAGTTGGACTCTGATTTTAGATGTTTACCGATTTTTTTTGTTCAGTTAAACTCAGAAAGCAGATGAAACGTGAAATGGGAAACATGAGCGAGAAGTTGGAGGCTATGAAAAATTCCGCTACTGAGGACGGAGGTCAGTTTCCAAAAAATGAGGCTAAATTTGTGATTAATTTTGCTAACTTTTAATAATGCTTTTAACAAAAGGAATTTTTAAATTTTTTGACTTTTTAGCTTTGCCGTGAGAAACAAAGCATATCATTTTCTCTTACATCAGAGAACAGATGAGAACTGAAAAAGAAAATATTAGCGAGAAGATAACTGAGGAAGGAGGTCAGTTCGGAATATTAATTCCAAATTCCATAACTTGGACACCCTTTCTTTTGATTACTATGTATATCTTATAAAATTCCCTTCAATCCTGTTTTACTAATATGATCACGTGTGTGGACAAGACTGACATTTAAAGGCTTTAAAATCTTTGAACTTTCGTAACTTCAAATGTGCGTCTGGAAAATCAGGAAACCGGAGTCCGGAAAAGGAATAGGAATAGAATAAGGAAGCGGAACGGGAACGGGTATAGGACGCCGAATTACAATTTGGAACCGATATAAGCCGGACAGAGAGTCATATATCTTGATTGAATTTAATTCTCATATAACTTTTAACTTAAATATCCAAAAAGAAAAAAAAAACAACGCCTTAAAAAGTAACATATTTGTACGTACAAATATTTATCGCTGGCTTCAATAAAGGGTCTGTTTTGACGAACCGTAGGAGAACTGTAATCGAAAAAGCTAAGTATAAGCGTAATAATTCAACAAGAAGGATTGCTAAAAGTCTTCAAAGTCATAATATCAAAGTTTCGAACACAACGGTTTGGAGGTATTTGACCAACAAAGGGCGGAAAGCTTTCAAGCGAAAGAAGATACCACTGCTAAGTGAGAAGCAAAGAATGGCTCGCTTAAGGTTACGATTTGCCAGGAAATATTACAAACTCACGGCAGAGGATGGGGAGGACGTTTTATTTGCAGATGAGTGTCCTAAGTATCTATTTCAAAACCCGAATCCAAAAAGCGATATCGTATGGGGCTCTCAGGAGTGCGACTTTTTCCCAGCATACTAGGTGAAGCAAAGTGCAAAGGTAATGGTATGTGGAGGTATGAGGGGTCGTGGCCTGACAAGGTTACACATTTTACCTAGTGGCCAGACCTTAACCTCCGAGTACTATATCAAAGAAATCCTAGAAAAAGAAGTAAAACCGTTAACCTCAAGGCGGCAGGTTACAGGCGGACCGACGGAAAGAATGTTCTTCAGGTCAAAGAAGGCGATGACCTTTGTGCATTACGGCGCGCCGCCACAGACTTCAAAGGCGGCTCAGACGCGGTGTCTCAACAATTTGCCAAATTTTGTACCCAAGGATGACTGGCCGGCAAGCTCACCTGATCTAAACCATGAGGAGAACATCTCGAACATAATTGATGAGATAACGTACAAAGAGAGATCCAGCCCCGAAAACACTGGACAAGCCAAGAAAGTGACTTCACTTCGCCTGGAAAAATGTGACTCAAGACGCGCTTAAGGAGCTCGCGTATTCTATGCCCTGCCGAATAGAAAATGTCAGAAAAAATAAAGGAGGCCATGCTGGCTACTAATATTTCACTTGTTCAACGTAAAATGAATAAGGAATAACGTACTTAACTTTTGAAAAGGTAATTTAAGTAAATCCAGAAATGAAAGCGGACAAAAATTCGAAAAGAACTTGAGAAACACCCTGTAGTATATCACAAATCACATCCCCTTCTTTCAAAATCCAACATCGCGGGGGCAGCTTTATTAGGGCCTCTTCACATGAGCCCGGTTAACCGGGCTGGCCCGCTTACCGGGGCTAATTTCATTTTGGGTTCATATGAGAAGTTTCAACCCGGTTTCCAAGATAGTAAGAGGTCGAAGACGAGTTGTGGCGCGAAATTCGCGAAAAAAGCAACATGGCGAAACACAAAGTTATACTGATTCGTGCCTATCGTGGCTTGGGCAACTCTTGTAGGTGTATCAGTACAGTTAAATGGGATGCTTAGGATGTGGAAGATACCGCAGGCAAACCAAGACGATGCAGAATTCACTCGAAAAATTCATCCCAGTTTCATCCCGGTAACCGGGCTGAAGTGTTTATATAGCAAAATTTCCAGACCGCTTACCGAGATCCCGGTTGGGATAACCGAGATCTAGGGATTTAAAGCCAGCCCGTCTTCTCATATGAACACATCGAAAAGTTTACAAAAGATTTAGAGGCAGGGCGAGATCTCGGAAACCGGGCCAGCCCTGTCAACTAGGCTCACATGAAGAGGCCCTTAATTTGCTTGAATGTGTGGTCGGTTAAAAAAGTCGGGTGAACAGAAAAAAAACTGACGACCTGCTCAGAATCATTTGAAGGAAATCAGCCATCTCGACCTGAAATGTAGGAGCCGTTGTCACCATCCACCTGAAGGCTTTAAGAGGCTATTAGTCAAGTAGTTTCCAGCGGCTGATTCTTTTCATCCCAACTCTTGGTACTACAACTTTTCTCTTATTGAGTTATTAACTAAAAACCATCTCTGTTTTTATAAGAAGCTATATATACTTATTGTTTTATCTCGTAGCAGAATATGATCGTTTATTTCGTCTTTTTTTCTTCCTACCCTTAAACCGGCCTCTCTTCCATTTCCTATATTCCCGTTCCGGTTCCTGTTGCTATTCCCGTTTCTGTCTTGAATTCTGGATTTTTATTTCCTAGTTTTCCGAACAATGAAAGGTGTGTGATGAAAGTTTAATTTTGCTAAGTATATTCTTCTCCCTGACAGATAGAACAAGAAAAGACTTGAGGCAGATGAAAAGCGACATCAGTGAGAAGCTGAAGACTTTGGTTTCTGCGACCAAAGAGGAAAGTGAGTTTCCCCACATTGTAGCCCGCTAGGAATTAAGTATCTAAAATAACTGTTAAAAGCTAGTATTTCTGATCGGTCAGTGATCATTTGTCTTAGAAGAGTGGCTCTAGGGTCTCAAAAGAACAGTTTCGTATCCAAGGAGGACCCAAAGTGCTGAAACTTATTCATTTGCCCTCAACTCAGCGAGTGGATGATGGATGACATATCTTGAACTAGAAAAATACGCCCGAGGCTGTTTAGAGTCCGCTATTTTCTCGTAAGATGGTGGCGTTGGAGCCGACTATACCAGAAACCTGCGTGGTAGGCGCAAAAGGGGGAGGGGAGGAGGGAGAAAAGCGCTTCCCTCACTTTTTCCCTTCCTACCTACCTACCTATCACCTACTCCTTTCGATGCTTGCTACGCACGTAACCTACTAGAATGGTGGCCACTGACATGTCACACAAGTTTTTTTAAAAAAAATGAAATTTTCAGCAAGTGATTTTATTTTGCAGCAGTAGATTTGTTTGCATCATGGTCCCTTGTGGGCCACCGTAGGTACTCGCCCCAGTTGAAAAAATAGATGGAGGTTTTAGGAACCCTATCAACCACATGGTAAAATAGGGGACTGTGAGTCCTCAAACACAATAAGCTGAACTTCATAAGCAGTAGTTCATTTTCCTTGCTTCTAGCAAATTTCAGTGGTATGCTAAAAGGCTGCTGTTAAATCAAAAAGAGGGCCTTGCCATCTTCCATTTCCTTATTGAAGCCACCCCCTCGCCCACGCCCCCATCCCCACTCCCTCCTCTAGCGGTTGGAGCGTTTTACGCTCTCTGTCAAGGAGGTGCACATTGGCTAAAAAGGAAATAATTAATAAAAGCTAAGTTTTGTTTAGCAAATCGCCCTTCTGGCCTTTTCCAAGCATGGTTATGCGGTTAGTTCAATTCACTGGTGTTTTACCGACTTCGAAAGTAGCAAAACAGACTGTTTGTAGTCGAATAACTACAACAAAGTTTGGTTCTCATTTATTCTCACAGCAGTTGGATTGGTTGCCGAGCATATTGAAATCATGCGCCAGAAGTACAAACGTCATGAGGGATGGCTCGCGCCCTTTCCTTGGTGCGAAGACTTTCAGTTTCAACTAAGCGATATTTATACACGGCTTCGTATGGTCAGCAGAGGGAAAAAAGCCAGAGCAACAGCGGAGCAAAGAGTTGTTGAAACGACTGAAATCTTCAAACCCCACGAAGAATGCAAACAACCTAGAAAAGTATTGATTGAAGGAAAGCCAGGTATGGGGAAGACGACATATTGCAATAAGGTTGCTTACGACTGGGCTATAAACACAAAAAACGAAGGAGATTGCTTTCCGGAATTTGAGTTGGTGCTTTTGCTGAAATGCCGTGATGTGGAGATCGAGTCCGACCTTTGGCGAGCCATTGACGATTAGCTTTTGCCAGGTGAAATTCATCAAAAGGAAAGAGAAAAATTCTTCGAGTTCATTCAGCAAAATCAACCAAAGGTTCTTCTGATACTTGACGGATTGGACGAGTTACCTTCAAGCAAACAGCCGGAGTTTACCGATGTCATACAAGGCAAAATACTTCCTCTATGCCACCTTGTGGTTACAGCGCGACACGAGGCTGGAATACCTGTGAGAAAGGTTTGTGACTCTCTGCTACAGATTGAAGGTTTCACTTATCAAGATAGCAAAGAATTGATTCACAAATATTTTGCCGGCAAGGAAGACTTGGCCAAAAAGCTCTTGGATAAAATACAGAATGAGAAAAGGCTTCAGGAGATGACGGCGAACCCATTGAACACTGCAATGCTTTGCCTTCTTTGTGAAGACTTTCAAGGTATTTTACCTGAAAGCAGAACTCAGTTGTACTTGGACATAGTACAGTGTGTTCTTATGAGATACAGGAAAAAGAAAGGTCTTCCAGTCGAAAATGAGGATCTGATTAAAATCTACAACGATGAGTTGAAACTCCTTGGCTTGATAGCTTTAAACCGCCTATATGAAGACAACATGTACTTTGAGGACAAAAAGCTTGCAAAAAAAGATGCCGACTTACCTGGATTTGGAGTTCTGTCAGCTCAACCTGGAAGCAGCAAACGAAGACCGTGTATGTGCTACGGCTTTACGCATAAGAGTTTTCAAGACTTCGTCGCCGGACATTATCTTCGTTGCCAGCTTGTTAGCAAAGAAATCAGTCCTGAAATATTGGTCACCGACACAAGATATTTCCAAGAGCTGAGAGAGGTATTAAAATAAACCTGTGGTCTGCTAGCAGCAACATCGAAACAAATTGCAGTAGCTCTTATCATCTGTATAGCGAATAACTTAAACAAAGAAAATCTGAGAGAATGTTTTCCTATTGTACTGGAGTGTATTAAAGAATGCAAAATTGAAAACAGTAATTTTCACATGGAACTGGCCCGTACATTTCTGACATTTGGAGCATGTCTGAAAGTTCAACATGCTCAGAGCCTTGGAGGCAAAGGTATAAATGACACTGCTGTTGCTGTGCTTGCTGCCGTGCTTGAAGCAAACACAACTCTGACAAATTTGAATCTGTCTCTCAATAACATTGGTTCGGCCGGTGCTGAGTCACTTGCTACAGCGCTTAAAACAAACACAAACCTGACGAAATTGAATTTGCGTAGTAATAACATTGGTCCTGCCGGTGGTGAGTCACTTGCTACAGGGCTTAAAACAAACACAACTCTGAAAAATTTGAATCTGTCTTTCAATAGCATTGGTCCTGCCGGTGCTGAGTCTCTTGCTGCAGCGCTCAGAGCAAACACAACTCTAACAAATTTGAATCTGTCTGACAATGACATCGGTCCTGCCGGTGCTGAGTCACTTGCTACAGTGCTTAAAACAAACACAACTCTGACAAATTTGGATCTCCGGGGCAATAACATTGGTCCTGCCGGTGCTGAGTCACTTGCTACTGTTCTTAAAACAAATACAAACCTGACAAATTTGAATCTGTCTGGCAATAACGTTGATTCTGCTGGTGCTGAGTCACTTGCTACCGCGCTTAAAGCAAACACAACCCTGACGACATTGTATTTGATGTGTAATAACATTGGTCCTGCTGGTGCTGGGTCTCTCGCTACAGCGCTAAAAACAAACACAACCCTGAGGAAATTGAATTTTTATTGTAATAACCTTGGTCAGGCCGGTGTTGAGTCACTTACTAAAGTGATTGAAGCAAACACAACTCTGAAAAGGATATTTTTGTGACCATGGTAATTACATCAGTTAATCTGTTACAAGAGAATTGACTATGCACGCGGTAAACGCATCTCATTTTCGTTCAGTTTTCTCTTTCTCTTTATTTCTTTGCCCTTCTCGTTATTTCTTTCGTGGAGTAGCCTTCCGTTCATGTGTATCCGATTAAAACCCTCACCGAACTCCTAACCAACAGATAAAAATAGAAATCTTCGAAAGCGATGAAGTACGTAAAAGCATCGAATCTCACGCGGGGAGATAGTTCTACTTTTTTAAAGATTTATAGCATATGTTTTGTTGTTGTAGTTTTTTGTTAAAATGTCCAAGCTTGCTTTTTCAGAATATTACTTAATTAGTAGCGCGTGCTTCAAGTTGGCACCGAACTCGAAATGGAATCACTGAACGTCTCAACAGAGGTCCACAGGCAAAACCTCGGAGTTAGTACGCCCGAAGGGTCCTGTAGAAAGTTTTAGACAGGGAGGCTCCGCCCATAGCTCCGACCTCTCTCCCTTTAAAATACCATTTCTGACAAAAATGGTACCCCTTTCGTATTCTTTCCACTGACAAATGGTACCGGTTTCACATACCTAGTTTAGAACTTTGCATCCCGTTGAACTGCTACAAATACACTGTCCTTAAAGTTTTAATAAATCGCAAAAAGCAAAAACATTTTCTCAACTTTTTCACAGCCATAAAATAAAGCTTTCTTTAGCCCCTTTTAGGTTCGATTTAGATCAATATGACAGATTGCCCTACCCTTTCGTAGATACTTCAACTAGCGAGATCCTTTCATATACATGAAGCTTAAAAAGGGCCCCCCCCCCGTCGTGCGGAGCCTCCTCGTAAAGTCCATAATATAGAGTACCCGCCCCCCGGGGTACTAAGTAAGACTGGTAGTGCTTTTAAGCACTAGCAGTTCGATCAAACATTGATTGGTAGGCGGGAGAATTGAAAAATGATCTAAGGCCAATCCGCGTAAAAACGTTTTTAAACAGAATGGGAGACGTGTGGTTGGGTGGAAACGATTGAAAAGCGATACGTGGACACGAATCAGTTTTGCCGAGCTGGAAAAAAAAATCCGTTATCACAAGAAAAGGGACGGCTTTAAGTCGTGGTCTGCAAGCTGCGTCAACGAAATTCACACTCAGTTTTTGTTTTAACCAACAGTTTTTAAGTCCTTGACATCTAAAGCATTCATTCTTTTCTATCGTTACTTTTATGAATTGCTAAGTAAACATAATAATCTTTTGCCTACTCTAAGCTTTTGTAATCTGCCCAGAACTAGTCGGCAGGTTTTGAAATAGCCTTTTTGCATGTTTACGTCGCACAAGCAAATTTCACCACCAACCCTCGTTATGAAATTACAAAAAAACCAACTGTTACATAAAGAAATTTCCAAGAAGAAAGGGTCAAAAATAATGCCCACGCAAACGAAGCTTGATGGCGACATCGTAATGTAAATAGCACCATAAATATTTTCATTTTGTTTCAAGATGACGTTAGTGAGTCCGTCTGCAAGAAACTTTAATAAAGTGTATAAATCGTGTCCGCATCTGGGTCTAGTTGCTTTAGTCCCGTTTTTCTTGTTCTCTGTCATTTTGTCATTTAGCCTGAGGGCAGAAGTCTCCTATTTTCTTTGTTTGTCAAGAAAGTCAAAGATCTTATCTTTCCCAACAAGAACTTTGAAAAGCGAAGGACGATTAGCGATCGAGAGTTACTGAACCACACGTCCTGTTTCGTTGTGCAACAGATGAAACAGGAGGCATCTGCACGCAGATTAGGCTACTGAAAATCATCGTTTAAAAACACCAGCTAAAACTATCATTTAAGCAGAAGTCTAAAAAGCCATTAGAGCGGCAACAGCGCACACAATTGCATAATTCCGTTTGAGAGTTCTTAACCATTGTTAACTTTCTTACGGGGAGTCATTTTTTCACATAAATTGGAACAAGTGCTGTTTAAAGAGAAAAGTAAAATGTGCAATGACCTGCTTCTCATTTTGAAAACTAGTATTGCAATGTTGGCATTTTTGTCTCTAAAGGGAATAGAATGGTGTAGTAATTCATGTTAAGATGTGTTGTATGGATGGTAAACGTAATTTCCAAACATGCAGTATTTAGGGAGGGTTCATAGAAGAGAAGGGGGGGGGGGGTCCGATGAGTTTTTAGGGGCGGCCATCGAATATTTCTACCAATGTTACTGTAGGTACAATGGGAGGCAATCCAAAATGTGTTAATAAAAACCTCCAAGATCAGTAAATCCAGCACAAGGATCAGTAAATGAACTTAAAAGTAACTGAAGCTTATCAATAGTACCATGTCAATCAATATAAATAAACTAACCCTGACAATTGCTTTCTTGGAGCGTTTATTTGTAAATGTGTGCTCAAAACCTCTCCGTTTTGATATCTTTGTGCCACTAGGAGACTAGGGAGAGAGGAAAAGAGGGCGTGCAGGGGACGATAGGAGTCGAAGAGGGAAGGGGGGCCGCCTCTTTTGCTCTTCCCATCACGTGCTTATTTTTTCTTTAAACTTTTGTCAATGAAATGCTAGTGGGAGCCTCTGCGGAGGAGAGAGTTTGAAAGTTTATGGATCAGCGTGATGAATTTAAATTGTTCATTCACAATAAAAAAAAGCAGTGGGAAATCCAGGGGAGGGGCCCGGGGGGCCGCCTCCCTATTTGTGGAGCAAATTGAGGCCCGAAGGGCCGAAAAAGAATTAATTTGAGACCGGGTCCCCCTTATCTCAGGGTCTGGATGACAGCAGTCACCTTTACATTATACACTCTTTCCTTTTTATAAGAATACAGGATGTTTCAAAAGTTCGTTCCGATTGTAAATTGTATTTTGCGCAAAGTATTTAGTGCTTCTCTAGGCAAATGTAAACTGATTCAGGTAAGAAATATATCTAAATAACTGTTAAAACAAATTTCAAACTAAAATTTTAAGAAATTATAATTTTTTTAAATTTTTGGCCCAACTGTACACGTACGCGAGGTTTTTCTCGCCATACTTTTCCGGCCCATTTTGTAGGTTTTCTATTTTGGAATTTTTATCGTTTTCTTTCATTTCCTCTACTCCTTCATGAAAATGAAGGCCTACACTGTTTGTGCTAGAGCTCAGGCATCCATTTGTATGGTCTTCTAGCCATTCAGTAAAAAAAAAAATTGCCAAATTGTTGAAGAGGTCTGAAAGATGACCGAACAAGTGGTCAAAAGTAAAGACCATAGGAGACAAACCAAGCAGAACATGGCAGTTTTTTTAACAAACTGAGCGAGAAATATTATCGAAAAAGCTGTAAGTATATGCTTAATAATTCCACAAAACAGAAAGGTAAAAAAATTTCAACTTCACATTATCGATCAAAGTTTCGAGCACAACGGTAAGGGGATATTAGTTACCAAAAAAAGTTGGAAAGCCTTGAAGAGGAACAGGCAGTGCACACTTCATGCAAGCATGGTGTCAGAAGGATTTGCCAACTTTATACCAAAGGAGGACCAGCCGGCAAACTCATGTGATGTGAACCCCCTAGAGACCATCTGGATTATCGTAGACGAGACAACATACAAAGATCCAGCCCCCAAAACACTGGACGGGCTAAGACAGTGACTACGCTTCGCCTGGAAGAATGTGACTTTGGACACGCCTTGGGAGCTCGTACATTCTATACCTCACCGCTTAGAAAATGTCAGAAAACATACAGGAAGACATTCTGGTTACTAATATTTTAGTTATTCAATGTTAAATAAATAATGAATAACATACTAAGTTTTACAAAAGGGTTTTTTTCAATAATTAGTGAAACTTAAGGGAATAAAAAAATCGGAACGAACTTTTGAAACACCCTGTATATTTCATATCGTCTAAAAATATCAAGATTGAAATTTGCGAAAATCTAAGACTGTATTTTATAAATAAACCCGAGGCTGGAATCTTGAAATGGATATTAACTTTGTGTGTTATTGTTGCAATACAATTACATGTTTTCAACTTGACCGTATAAAATTGTTTCTTTCTCTAAAGGGCAAAATTATCCAAGGAAACGAAACCTGAAAACCTTTACTAGCTGTAATTGATACGCGCTAGTACATTCTAAAATGGAATTACCGTAAACCATAATTTAAGAATCGTAAAATGCAAGAATATTTTCAGCCTAATATCGGCAGAAAAATAAGAAAGTTCACCCTACTCCTCTGATGTGGGAAAAGAATATTCTTTTAAAAATAAAAGAGTGTAGTGCGCATCTTGATGACAATTGGATCGGAAGTGAAAAATTTCTTTTATAGAGACTTACACCTTCAGCTACCGTGCAAATATCGGATCTTCACTACAATTCTCCAAATATTTGAACTTCCTCCTTCAAACAAAAAGGAAGATACAGTTTTGAATCCGCTCCAACCTCTCGGAAAATGTTTCGTTTGGAAACATTTTATGAATCTCATGATACCGTGTTCTTCAGAATTTTTGAAAATTGAAATTGGAGTTAGTATCTGATATTAAAGTGGCAGAATAAAAATCCTAATGGCGGATCAATTCTAAAGTTTCGCACCGTTACCACTATAGGAACCCATCGAATTACAAGAGGATTTAGTGACGACAAACAGTAAACGTGAATTGTACCACGTAACCTTTACTTCTTTTAGTGTTAATTACTTCGACCAAAAATTAGTAGTTTCTTGCTAGTTTTATTCATAAGAATTTTTTGGCCTTTTTTTATCCGTTCATTTTCCATTTT